TTATTTGTCGTAGGATAAATATATTATCAGGCAGGATCTCCCAGTACGAAAGCCGCTTTGTTCTTCAATATCTTGTATCTGTCTTTCAACCCTCTTCTTTAATATTCTGCCGTACAACCGGCCCACAGAGCTCGTCACACTAATACCTCTATAATTGGAACAGTCTCTTTTATTTCCTCTCTTATATATAGAGCTTATATAAGATTTATTCCAATATTTAGGAATTTCCTGGTCTCCACACATACATTTATTGAAAAGGTCTACTATTAATTTTAAAAGTGCAGTCGGCCCATATTTAACCAGCTCTATGGGAATGTCTCCAGGCCCTGCGGCTTTTCCGTTTTTAACCTCTTTTAAGGTTTCCGTCAATTCAGATAATGTTATTATAGGGATTTCCTGTCTTTCGTCTCTGTTGTCTATTAATTCCCTTATCTTTTCCCATCTGTACTCTACTCTATCCTCTTTCAGCAGTTTCGTATAATATTCTTCCCATTCATTTAACTTTATGAGAGAAATGTTGTCTTCATTTTTCTCATTTTTCCTAAACTGTTTTAATGTTTTCCAAGCTTGCGCCACTTTTGTTCCACCCATAAATCTGTCCAGTTCATCACACTTAGCCTCCCAGTTTATATTTTTCGCCCTATCCACGTCTTTTTTAACTTCTCTATTCCATTTAGCGTATATTTCTCTGTCTTGAGGATCTTTGGATTGAAGCGATATGTGATGTGCTTGTTTTTTTCTTGAGAACTTTCTCTTCTAGTTTCGTTGACAACCATTCAGGTTTTCCTTTTTTCCGATTTTCAACTTTTCCCAGTGCTTCATTTGCCGCTTCATGAATATATTTTTTAATTACCTCATACAGACTTTCGGGGTCTAAGTCCTTTGTTTCTATATTTTTTATTTTCTGAGCTATTCTAATTTTATATAAGAACTTTGTCGAATCTTGTTTAAAGCTTTCCAGGTTATATTTTATGTTTTCTATGGTTGTTCCTATGTCTGTTACTTCATCATTTTTGTGACTTGATTGTTCTTTCTTAAATGTCACCATTACTTTTGCAATAATCATATGGTGGTCACTTCCACATTCTGGCCCTTTAAACACCTTCACGTCCTTCGTTTTTAGTTTAGAATCTTTACGATGAATGAAATAGTCAATTATTAATTTTAAATTCCTGGTAGGCTGCGTCCATGTAAATTTATGTATATTCTTATGGGGGAAGAAACCATTTAATATTTTCAAAGAATGTGCCTCGCAAAAATCTATTAATCTTTGACCATTGTCGTTCAGAATGTCTTCTCCATATCTCCCCATTATTTCACTGTTGGAGCTTTTTCCGGTTCTTGCATTAAGATCACCTAAGATCCAAATTTCTTTCTTCTTATTAATTGTGGCTAGAACAGTTGTTAACTTGTTAAAGTACTCTTCCTTGCTGTCAACCCTTGAGTCATCCGTCGGTGCATATGTTCCAATTACCACTATTTCATGGCCATTTTTCTTAATTTCCATGAGGATAATTCTTTCATCTATTTCTTGATTTAATACATTTTTTCAGTTTCTGATGTATTGCTATAGACACTCCTCTTTTAGCTCGTTCGTTTTTTTCTACGCCACTATAGAAATGCAGGTATTCGTTTATCTTTTCATTTTCTCTTCCTTTTTTTTTTACTTCAGTTAATACACAGATGTCCAGTTTCATTTTACTCAGTTCACGAAAGACCTCCTCCTGTTTTGTCCTTATTCCTTGTATGTTCCAAGCACCCAAATTCATAATTCATTTTCTTTGCGAGTTTCGTTTATAGTTTAATCCGTCCGAATTCCAAGGCTTTTTGCTGAAATTTTTAACTTTGATCATTTTTTCCGAGTATCAAGGAGTTGGCCCGATGCTTCAACCCCCAACTTGGAGGACCAGGGTTTTAAATCAGATTATCCTACTCTTCGATAAGTTGCTTTCTCTATGGCTTAGGAGTCCTATCTACCCCACCTGTTGGTCCGCGGGTGGTATTTTATTTCCCACCTACCCGCCGGCCTAGCTGCAAACAGGCCGGTGAGGTCATTCCCCTATCCACCACCTGGGGACGCGCTCTCTAGGGTTACAGGTTTCCCCGAGAGAGGTTCTAAATCACAGTAAAATAAAATTATGTACAAAAATATATTTTACAGCTCAATTACATACCATTATTAAACAAAAAGTAAAGTTTTATGGGGTGGTTTTAATATTTTGATCATTCACTCTAGGTTTTACATCCATAGAATAGAACGTACTCAAAGTAGCACTTTAATACTCTTAGATGTGTGATCAATGATACACTTCTACTATACAATACAGAAAGCCAGTTAATAAAGATTTTTTGTGCAAGTTCTCTTCTGGTCAAAATTCTTTGTCATTTTCAACACTACAGTCATTTCAGCTACCCATATATCTTAAGTGTTTCACCCTTTCTACGATTTTATCGAATTTTAGTTAAGAGTCTTTAATATTAATTTTTTCAACCACCATCCACGATGTTTTCTTTAAATTCATTATTAAGTCATTTTCATTGCACTCGTTGTTTACAGCGTTCAACATATCTTGTAATCTCTCTGCCAATGTGGTAATGTGATTTGCGTATCTGATGTTCTTAATAATTTCACATCGATTTAAACACCTTCGCGATGATTATTTAACGGTTTCTCAAAAACTAGTTAGTTGAAGAAATTCAACAACATCGGTAACATAACACATCCCTGTCTGATACCACGCTTTAGAGAAACTTTAGCTAAAACTTCTTGATTTACTCTAATACCAGCGGTCTAATAGTAGTAAATATTTTTGAGCAATCTAATATCATATGTGTCCAGACCAACTAAGTCTAAACATTGAAATAGCTATGTATATAATATTCTATCAAAGACTTTTTTAAAACTTGTGTTTATCACCAGTTATCCACTGAAAAGTTATATGCAACAATGCAATATTTTTACTAAAATTCTGAGCGTGTTTCTCATTAAACTAAAAAGTCAATAGTAGCTACACTATCTGGCAATCCTTTTACATTGGAAAATGTTTATATATTTATTCTAACCAGTTGTCTGATAATTTGCCGTTGCTCTATATCTGGTTAAAGAAGAAGGTGATAATCGAAACACTCTCATTATCTAAAAGTTGTAACAGTTTTTTAAGTACTGGATGGATGGTCATCTTAAATTCTGAGGTTAAAATTGGCGAGCCTGTATCTCGGTTAGATATTATTTCTTGGTAGATTCTTTGGTCATCCACGAAAAAAAAAATGATGAAACTTAAAACTGCATTTATAGCACTATCATAACTTTGTTGGCAGCTACTAATAAAGTCATCATTTAAAATTAGGAGTATAGAAGTCGTAAATTGGTCCAAACCATCGCATTGACGTAAAATTTTTTTTTTCTATTTTGTTAGATTCTTGGTTTTTCTCTAAATGTTTCTATATTAATATTTTTAAGACAGTTATTTTGGCTCTTTCAAAAGGTTTATGCGTAATTTAAGGAGTTCTATATCTTCAGCTTGGTATGTCATTGTTCAACTTGCCGTTTCATATCAAAGTCTTATATGTTTATATTCATATTAGGTTGTTATTTTCATGTTTGTGTTTTTTTCTTTCTTATGAATGGTTGTCGCCTTTAAACTTCTTTTTTAAAAGTTTCAATAATAGTAAATTTAAAATCTAAGTAGTTAAGGCTCATCATCATACTAATTTTATACTAATGTAAGCGGTCTGTTAGTTGTAAAATTTAGATTTGTAGAAATTGGAATTTTTAGGCCAACTGTTCTGCTTTCGGATTCTACTCTTCGCAAAAGATGCAATATTTCCTGCTCTCTTGCTGCCATAAGTGTGCTGTCATTAACAAATCTCTAGGACTTTTTATGATAAGTTAATGAAATAGATTAAAACATTTGGAAGATAGCACGTACCCTTGCTTAACTCCCTTTCTGGACAATTTCTAGATATACTGTTTCTATTGCCTGGGCACCCTTATATATTTTTGTTGTTTCCAGAAATCGCAGATATCGAACAAAGTTCCTTATTAAATCTTGCATTGGGGCAAGATATATCTAGATACTATTGCATATAACAATCTAAAAGATGATCTCGTTTTTAGAGTTTTTTGATCAGTAAAAAATTTTCAATAACTTTTACAAAAGTTTCATTAGACTTTCCTACTTTGGCATAAAAATGTCTTAGAATGATGACTAGTTATTGGTTTCGGCTAATGCTAACATTTTCTTCTAGATGTCTATAGAATTTATCGACTTCTTGACCTTGCATAGCTAAGGTCAAAGCGTGTATTTGAGTTTGAGATAGTTATATATACATATATATATAAATATATATATATATATATATATATATATATATATATATACATATATTTATATATATATATATATATATATATATTTATATATATACATCTATATATACATATATATATATATATATATATATATTTATATATATATATATATATATAATATTATATATATATATATGTATATATATATATATATATATATATATATATATATATATATGTGGGTTCTTATATCGTTCTCAAGGTGGAGAAATAAAAGACAAAGTTGATAGGCTACTTTATCTATTTTGAAGAGGTTTCGCTTTCCTATTCTGGAAGCATCATCAGTTCATCTAAAAAGTACAATATGAGAACCACACAATCATGGAAAAGATGGTATAAGTGTTAACTTAAAAAGACATGTAGCAGTCAATGATATTAACAGATTTGTGAGTAAAACTCAAGTAAATGAACATTTTACTTCTCTACCTTGAGACCGATATAAGAACCCACCACTCGTCTGAGTGATCCCTATTATATATTGTATTGACGGTCGTACTCCTTTTCCGATATATATGTATATATATATATATATATATATATATATATATATATATATATATAATTTTGCTATAATTTATACAACTAATTATGAAGTGAAATACTTAATCCTTTAAATTTCTATTTCTAGATGCATCTTCCATACACACTCATCTTTATTTTCATCAATCTGTACTGTTGTACTTGCTCACCATATTACGTAAATAGTCTTTCAAAACGTGGAGAAAAATATTGTGGTAGCCGATTAACCTCTATGCTAAATTTGGTATGTCGAGGAAGGTATTACGGGCCAAGCAACAAAAGAAGTACACGTAAGTACAAATATCTATAATTTAATACATAAAGTATAAAAACATTAATAAAAAATTGATCCCTTTACAAAATTTACAAGTTTGACTCTTGGTTAGGTAAATGTTTGTACAGGATATTTACAGCTTTTAATAATTACTTTAGTTTAGTAGTTATACGTCAAAATACTTTTATGATCTGTAATAGCTTGTAAATTTTTTCTTCTTGTAGTGTATATGTCTAAATTTTATTATAAGTTAATGTAATCTAGTTATTAAGATATCAAATTTTAAGTATTGTGTATGTCTTTATTTCTGTTAATGTAACAATATATTTTAATTTGTAACTTTGTCGGTCTATAATATACTTCATGTGTCTAGCTGCTGCTGTAGCTATAATTGGCGATTATCAACCGGTATAAACACTGCTTAACGTTACAATTCTCGCAGATTATAATTAGAACTGCAAATTACACTATTCTAATAATTAGGGCATAAAATATTGCTCTAGTTAGTAACAGTTTTTTTATTTTAATACATATTGATTCCGCTTATTCTCAGAGAGGCACGATCTCTTGCTTGTGTTAATGAATCTCATTCTTAAATCCTTTCATATGTATGTATAAAGTTAAATATATCTTTTGATAATGTTAAATTAATGAACAGTATCAATATTTTTGGAATTTTGTTTGTGCTCTTAGTCGAAAAAGTCTTCTATTTTTTATACTTATTTTTTATAGTGAAAAGACAGCAAATATTTGATTTCACGCAAACAGCGCCTTTGTATCTGTTGATACGTATTTCGACCTAATAGGTCTCATCAGAACAGTTATTAAAAGGTGTTTTCAACGTGAAAGATCAATATTTTCTGTCTTTTAAGAAGCAACACTAAAATGGCTTCAATACGGACGCAATAGCGACATCTGACAATAAAACCGTAAAATGGTTTCGAAACACACTTCAGATTTCCGCTTTAATCTGTGCTTTCTAATATTTGCAAAGCAAAGCAGACGTTGATAAAGGTGTTAAAAGAGACGTGGGGAATCTAAAATTTGCATTCCACGACACGTCTTTTCAACTAAGCAGAAATCCTTAGCAAACTGGTTTCTAGTACCTACTCGAACTTTGCTTCTGTTCTTTGAACAGTTTTTACCTTCCATTTATAAAAAAAACTGATTAAGTGTTCTTTTTAAAGAAACTGAACGTATTTAATTTAATATGGTTCATAAGTTAAGCTTTTACTTCACTTCCATCTTTTATGAGCTCTTCTCCATCTTTTTTTCTTTGTAAGGATGTAGTGGCGTCATGTAATTTATTTGACTATTTCTATCTAATTGTCTGACTGGACAGAGTTAGAAATGAGGAGGTCCTTAGACGGCTGAACCAAACAACACAACTGGTCAATATAATAAAGAAACGCAAGCTGGAATACTTCGGTCACATTATGAGACACCCAGAAAAATATGATCTTTTACATCTGATGATTCAGGGAAAGATCCAAGGTAATCGTGGTCCTGGTAGAAGACAAACATCATGGCTGAAAAATCTAAGGCAATGGTATGGAAAATCAACTACATCGTTATTTAGAGCTGCTGTCAATAAAGTCACGATAGCGAATATGGTAGCCAACATGATATCCAACGATCGATAACGGTCATGGAACTAGAAGAAGAAGATCCAATTATCTCTCTCCTGTGCGTCTTGTTTTGCTTCGGAGAATGAGCAACCAGTCATGTCCTTTATTTGATTTGACCATGGTACTAGATATTTTCCTCTGAATCTTTAACCCGATACGTTACCTTCAACTATCATTCGTTCTATGCCTTCTTTTATTCTAGTTATATGTCCAAAAAATAAAGAAGCCAATCAAAGCATCAGAGAACTAACTTATCAGAGCACGCAATGCTGTAATCTATCTTACTTTAAATTTGCCCAGCTTCTATGCTCAGCGAGATGTTGGCCACCACATTGACCCATCTTATTCTATTAAGAGCAGCTCGAAATGGATCAGTTGACGTTAGGCCAGTTTACTTGCTAGGATTGGCCTGCCAGGATATACGTCTACGTCTCCTCTCTTACCCTCAATCTTGCCTTGTTGAATAAACTGTAGAAGTCGGTATTTATTATTGCCTAAGATGTGTCCAAAGTAAGCCAATTTTCTGTTTTTTACGGTGGTAATTGCTTTGCCTTTTATTAGCCTCTGTAAGGCTCCAGCTTCTTACTCCATAGAGAAGGACACGAAAGACGTAACATCTAAGAATTCTTATGCGTCTATTGATACTTAAAGATAAGTTGCACATAATCTTTCTAAAGCTGTTAAAAGAGCTTCTGGTTTTTTAATACTAGCCTCTAAGGTAAGAATATATATCAGGCTTCACTTCGTAGCATCTCTATAGCAATACATTTAGTGTAGATATAATCTCTTTGATAGCAAGTACTGCGAAGTTCTACATATTCTTTAGTTACAATATATTACAGGTAGACAAGAATTGTTACAAATATTTTCCTCTCCAATTTCTACCATCTTTCTCTTTAAGGTCATTTTCTGCTTCATCTAACCATCTTTTTCTTGATCGACCTATCATTTTTTGTCGCTGATCTCTGTATTTACTAATATTGTTGGTAATCTTCTTTCTTTTATTTTTTCTAAGTGTTTTAATCATATGAACATTTATGCTTTTATAGCTTCTTATACCGCAGGTTCTTTAAAAAGACTTATGATCTTGGTATTGGTTCGTCTTCGGTGTACGTCTCCCATTTAACTCCTTCACAAATTCTTTTCAATATTTTGCTTTCTCATAAAAATACAATAATATCCATCGACTCATATTTTTCATCGTCTGTTTTACCTTGAAATTATAGAAGGCACAGATTAAAGCAAAAATCTTAAGTTTGATTTCGTCAGCCAAGATAGCTTGGCATTTCTATTTTGACGTTTTACAATAATATTCGTACTAAAAGCCAAAAACTATTTTATTTATATTTATGTGGTCTTTAGTCAGTGACTAGCTCACTATTAAACTTATTAAGGTCAAACTTTCTGAACCATACAACAAATCAGAAAACCTAATAATTTAACATTATATTCTGAGCTTAATGCTAATATTTTTGCTACAAAAAAATGTCTTTATAAGAGACTTTATAAATCCTATTTTTTCTACTTGTACGTATTTCATCTAAATTTTAAAAATTGGTTAAACAAAAGCTTCAGTTGCATATTTTATGTATTATTTTTTGTGATTACTGTAAATATATTGAAGGTTAATTCTTATTCCGTATCCTATTCACGTATTTTAGCCTTCTTATATTTTTATATTTTACGTCAAATATTTGTATTATGCTATTGACTTATTTGTTTATTTATTTTCAGATAACGACCTAATGAATATGGACAGTGACTTTAACACCATCGACTCAGATTACAGTAACAACGATGTACTTTATCCTTACCTTTCAAAGGATACCGTACTTTCTCTTCTTCCCAACAAAATTAGAAAATCACATGGAATTGTCAACGAATGTTGCTATAATCCTTGTACGGTGGACACCATGAAAGAATATTGTGATTACTAGATCAGAAGAAATTCTCTGTAAAGATTGTTTACTAAAAGATTTATATTATGTTCAATTTTAATTAAAATAAATTTGTAATAAATTGCATTAAAAAATTTTCGTTTTTAAAATTAATTTACATACGACGTAATTATTCTTCTTGATGTGACTATCCGTTACGAATGTCGGCAATCATCATGGCAATCTTTATCTTTTTTGCAGAAGCGCAGAAAAGCTGCACAGATGTTGTATTGAACCAGATTCTAAGGTTATTTAACCAAGACGTTTTTCTTCCTAGAACTCGCTTTCAAAATATTTTTAACTGCGAGATAGAGCTCCCCTGAAGGAGAGCTTATCTGGATTCATTTCGCATAATATGTCAGAAGAATTGTAACTTTCGAGATTTAATGGTGGTCAGTACCTCTCTGTTCTTATTCACTCTTCTGAGGATCTCTTCATTTGTGACTCGGTCAGTCCACGGGATCTTAAGTATTCTCTAATATAGCCACATCTCAAATGCTTCCAGTTTTTTGCACATATCTTTGTTCAAGGTCCACGATTCAACACCATAAAAAGGACAGAGAAGACGTAGCATCGCAGCATTCTTACTTTTGTATCAAGAGAGAGGTTGGGATTCTTGAAGAAGGCCCTCGTGGATCTAGCTTTTCCGATGCGTGTTCTAATCTCCTGGTTGTTGGTCCATTCTTCATTAATTATGGTGCCGAAGTAGTTATAGTGCGTCACTCTTTCTACAGGAGATTGGTTGATGTAAAGTTTCGACCTTCTGTTATCCTTTTCTTGCTAATGATCATAAGCTTTGTCGTCTTAACGTTTATATGGAGTCCATATTGTTGACTTTAATACGTGATTTTGTTCATAAGAACTTGTAGGTCTTCTAAGTTTTCCGCAAAGACTATGGTGTTATCTGCATATCTGATGTTGTTTAGATGGTAACCATTTAGTAGAATACCTTTTTTAGTTTCGTGCAAAATTTCGATAAATATTTCGATAAAAATTTCAGAGTACAATTGAAGATTAGAGGAGACAAAATACAGCCTTGCCTCACTCCATGCATGATTTTCAGATAGTCAGTGTGTTCACCATCAACTCTGAGATATGCTGTCTGATTCCAGTAAAGATCTCTAATTACTTTCAGATCTTGGTTGTTAATTCCTGCTTCTTTTAGTATTTGCATCATCTTAGCGTACTGTACTCGATTAAATGCTTTCTTGTAATCAACCAGACATGCGTATACGTCACAGTTGACGTCTCTGCATCTCTGGAATAAGACTTATACTGAAAAAAAAAAGCCTCTCTAGTACCAACAGCATTTGTGAACCCGAACTGGTTGGAGGAAACTTGACTTTCACAGAACTTGTAGATTCTCTTATAAATTATCTTTAAGAACAATTTAAGGAGATGACTCATAAGGCTTATATTACGGTAATCTTCGCATTTTTTGGCTCCTCGTTTTTTTGGAAGTGCAAGAAACTCAGATTTCAGCCATTCTGCTGGTATTCCTTCAGAGTTGTATATGATGTTGAATATCTTTGCGATTATTGCTATTGACTCGTTGTTAGTGTAAGTACTTCATCTACCTGTGAGTAGATGCTACTCATCTCGCTATATTTATCATATTATCTACCTAATCGTGGACAAGTTGGCTCTGAAGCATATAAATGCAGTGTTTTGCTAAAATTGCTATAAAATATCACTACAAATAATAATTTCACAATGATGGAATTGCAAAAGGTGCGCTTAACTTTTATTTCCTTTTTTCAAATATATCTCAAGAACTATTCGTTTTAGAACAATTTTGTTTTGGACATAAGATAATGACAGCTTTAGATCTTAAAAATTGTTATTAAAAGAAATAAAAAGCGCAAACAACAGGGTAAATAATAGGTTTATTTATAAGTTAATTTTCCGCAACAAAATCAAACTTAGAACCCATATATTTCGAGAAAGAAAACTATTTGTTACACTTACTTATGACAAAAAAATTGATTAAAATCGATTTAATAATTTTGGCAAAATAATTTTGCAATCCAAATGAGTAACCAAAATAAGTAAATTTTAACATTATGAGGACAGAAATTAAAACTGCTAGACACTTTTCGTATAGAAAAAAAATTCGTGCAAAAGGGCATTCAAGCTTTCAAACCCAATTTGAAAAATTTAACTAGCCGAATAGAAGAGGCCGATTAGAATTTTAGGCTTATAATAAACAATTTGAATAACTTTATTAATTGTTAATCGTTTTTAATTTTTAAAACAAATGTTAACAGTACTTTGTTATTAAATAGCATTATCTGATATGAAATAAAGGGTCTAACAGAAACCGGGAAAGAAGTGCTTCCCGACCGTTCTGACCCATAAAGGAAAACTAAGCAAAAATTTCAAAGAGCTAATGGGTAAAAGAAGATAGCTCACGGAAAAATACGGCTCCAACTACACAATAATGAAGAAATTAAATAAAGATATTCACCGGTCAATCCAAAAAGACCTAATAGAAAACATTACAAGAGAGATACGCAAAATAATTGAAGAAAACATTATGTTACATGTTATAACACTGTTATAACAAAACGTTGTAACAGTTTTGAGGGAAAATACGAACAACATAGGCTACAAAAATATGTACAAAATCAAAAACAAAGATGAGAACATTACTACGGATAGAGCTAAATTTTTTGAGGTTGTCGAATCCTTTTACCGAAATGTATGAGAGCACCGACGAAAGGCAAGATCAGCCCCTGCCGAAAATCACAAACCACAAATTAGAATTAATGCCAGAAATAACTTCATAATCATAGCTTCGAAATCAAAACGGCACTTTTAGAAACAAAAAATAACAAATCTTTTGGCGATGTTGGAGTAGTGAAGGAAGCGATTAAACTAGGTGGAAATAAAATTATCCAGGCTTTAGCCAAGTTTTGCACCGAATGCATCTACTCTTCTTCTCAAGGCAACAATGCAGTTATTATTTTATTACACAAGCAAGGAGACATATAGAGCCTGAGCATGATAAAGCAGACCATTATAGAATCTATAATAAACCTGTTCTATTGTTTTTTTAACTTAAGGTTTTTATATCTTCTCTTTTTTTTATTTTCAATAAACCTCTGTAAAAACCGAGAAAATCATTAATTGGAACCACCTTGACTTCCTTCATTTGTGCTGCGTTCAACGATTTAGAATCGTCAAGTGACGAATCTTATAGTGAATAAATGCATCACTGTTATATTTTAATAATAGTGTAGGGTGTAGGGCCTAGGAATTTTATTATCAATCTTGGCTAGTTGTATATTATAATCAGCCGGTACATTACTTGTGCGAAGTCCATTTTTGAAACCAAACACTCTAGCCACTGACCTATTCACATTTTTTAAATAAACTTATTATGTACTATTCTCAAGCAAAGTTTTAAAAATTGGCTCATAAGGTTTATTAGCCAGTGGTTCTTGCAGAAAGCTAATGTTTTGATATCTTGTCCGTATTGGTGATATTATTACTGTATTTCGCAATTTTCTTTTTATAGAGGAGTGCATCGAAGCGCACTCCATTTGAGTATGCGCTTTATTAAAATATTTCTGTTTAACGCATAGTCATTTTCCATGGACAATGTAAAAAAATATAAGATATTAAAGCATTTCGGTTTTAAGCAACTCAACCATCGCTATAAAATATAATCACAGACTTGCTGTAATCGATAATACATGTCGTAATCTTGATACCTGTAATAATACTATTAAAATGTCATAAATGCAAAAACTATAATAATATGATCTAATCAAACTTACCTTCAATAAATTTACACTACTTTTTTAAATGTAACTTACCTTATAATCCCTATCTTGAAGATATTATAACACAGCAGAAAAAGCACATCTAATCTGACAAACATCGTGGAGCTAAGTCGATTTCTGTTTTGCTGTTCAAGAGACATTTCCCGTTTTTTTTTTACCGAAACGTATAACAATTTAACATTAAAGCATATTCCACTAAAAAAAGTACTACAAACTGCTAAAAAACACCCGTGCAATGGTTTAATAATGAATAAAGGTCCTACAGATCTAATCTTTCTCTAATTAAACACATTGCCGATGCCATTAAGGATCCCGATTTGTTTAAAGTATATAGACAACAAAAATTTGAGTATATTTGTCAATTACAAATTGCTAAAAAGTCAGCTTACTGTAATTTTATTACTAATAACAATAATAAACCTAGAGACTGCAGGAAAATACTTAATTTTGAAAGAAACAACATAAGATCCAATCAATTTTTTACTACAATTACAGAAAATATAAATACATTTCTTCCCACTAGTATTGTCGATGTTCTCTTTGGGTATAGAAATTATCTTTCTTTCTAACACTGTTAAACTATTGGGAATAGCCATAGATAATCGACTAAACTGGTCGGTTCATATCTCACAACTGAAGAACAAGCTACAAATTCATTATTTGTTATTTGCCAACTAGTAAGGGTTGTCAACTTTGAAACATTAACAATGACATGTTTTCTTTATTCTCTCACCTAAACTATGGTGTAATTATATGAGGCAATTCAACAAACACGCACGTCATTTTTTCAATTTTTCAATTTCAATTTTTAGAATGCAAAAGAATGCTATCAGGATATTAGCAGGAGTTAGTTATCCAGAACACTGTCGATATTTCTTCATTCAATTTAAAATTATGCCGCTGCCTACTCTGTTGATATTTTAAGTTCTAACTGAAATTCACAAAAAATGTGCCCATTTAATAAAGCAGTATGATGTCCACGTTTACAATACGCGAAACTGTCACTACATACATATGAACAAATCGCAGTAGATTAACTCTTTTAGAAAAAAATTGTTTTAATTATAACTATTACAATATTTTACCTAAAAGTATTAAACAGCTAAACTGTAATAGTTTTGATAAAGTTATAAAAAAATATCTTTTAAAACATTGTTTTTACTGCTCAGAAGATTATATGACTCAATGCAGAACATCCACTGAACTGCTTACCCTAACTTTGCGATAAATCTTTTGCTGTTTAAAATGTGTTTTTGTTTGTATATATTTAAGTTGCGATTTATATATTTTTTTATATACTATGTTTATTTTTTGACTTCCTACAAACAATATTTTTATCTATTATGTAGTCAAATAAATACTCTACTCTACTCTATCTATGGACGTTTTTGTTATCAACAACATGTGATTTTTTAAGTTTTGGAGTTGTGTTTTATTTGTGTTTTAGTTTTGTGAAATATTTATTTAAAAACCAAACATTTTTATGTATATCATATTATTTTATCCGAACAATTAACAAATCTTTTAGCCAAACATAACATAACAGCGGCCCTCAAAGGCAACAACCTTTTAAATAAATATTTCACAAAACTAAAAACACAAACTTTAAAACTTGGAATCACATTTTTTTACAAGATACCATGTATTACCTGTGAAGGTGTCTATATCGGTCAAACCAGTCAACTGCGTAAATCTAGAATTCGTTCTCACAAATATGACAAAACAACGTCACTCCTTCTTCATGTACCATGTCCTTTCAGAACGTTGGTTACCATCATAGCTATCTTAATTTTATTCACTGCCACCCTAAATGACATGCTTTTATCAACACCATACAATCTCGCAAATTCTTCAACCATGAGGTTCTTCTTCGTCCTGGACTGCGTTTGGCTGCTATTTTTCCTTGCATGATATTTTGTGGAGTTTTTAATCTTCTCCACCCAGGAAACTTTTAAAATTCTTCTATAGCACCACATTTCAAAAGCCTCAAGGCGATTTAGATTGATTTTATTTACAGTCTAGGACTCGCCACCATAAAGACCGAGAATACGTAGCAGCGATGTAGGCAGATCCTTAAAAGCCAATTTTAGGTCTCTGTTGCATAACACCTTGGACATCCTTCTAAAAGCAACTCTAGCCTACTCTATCCCATATTTAATTTCGCCGTGACTTTCTGCGTTACAATTTAATTGCTGTCCAAGGTAAACGATTTTATCAACTTGCTCAAGTTTGGTATTATTTACATATATAGACGGTTTTATATGCTGTTGTTTACTTATAACAAGTATTTTGGTTTTCCTTATATTAAGATCCAGACTTGCCTTCCTACAACTCTCAACGACACTATCATGTAATGTTTGCAGATCTTCTTGACTAGAAGCTAGGAGTACTGTATCGTCCGCATATCGCAAATTATTGATGACTTCGTCGTTCACAAGTATTCCTTCTTTTTTTTAAGAAAGTGCTTTTCTGAAAATTCTTTCGGAGTAAACGTTAAAAAGCAGGTGTGACAAGATACATCCCTGCCGTACTCTTCTTTTAATATTGAGAGCCTGTGATTCCACACCATCTACTAAAACTGGTGTTGTTTGATTCCAATATAAATTTGCAATTATTCGAACATCTCTTCCGTCCAAGCCAATGTCTTTTAGACCTTCGATTAATACAGAGTACTTAACACGATCATTTGGAAGTCAATAAAACAACAGTATATATCTATAGATATATCACGACATCTTTGAGCAAGTACGTTCATTCCAAACAATGCCTCTCTCGTTTAAAACCCGTTACGGAAAAAAAACTGAGTGTCATTCAGGTATTCCTCGCATTTATTGTAGATACGACCATGTATTACCTTCAGAAAATTTTTTAATAATAATAGAAGTTATAGTCTCTAAAACATTGCTATCATTTATAAGCTTATACATTTTAGTTAAAATTTCATCAGGACCAGTCGATCTGCCATATTTTAATGATTGTATGGCTTTTATAACTCAGAGCGTGTTATTAGGGGTCCGTCGCAGTTAGTAATATCGGGAGGTGAACTACTCCTATCGTCTTCGAATAGGTTCGTGACGTAATTTTTCCATTCTGTAAGTTTGTCCTGTTTGTAACAACGTCACTGCGCTCACAAAACATGAAAGTAAGAAGAAGCATAAATTTTATTTTGAAAACATCAAAATTTTAAAAACAGAAAAAAACAAAAAGAAGAGGGAGATACACGAATCAACAGAAACAAAAATTAATACCAACGCAATAAATAACAAAAAAGATACGCAAAACCTAAATAAAATATATTTCAATCTGATTTAAATAATAATAAATATAGCACCATAAAGATCTCTTAAAATCATAACATAGCTCTACTTTATCTTTTTCGAAAACATCAATGATACGCCCATATATAAATAATTATACATTAATGACAGTAAACCATAAGATATCAGATATCATCTTTTATTTGTGAGTTCATTAATGTCTGTGTCCCGTTGTACGTTTTGGTAAGTTATACATATTTTACAATAACTGTTTGTTCTTATCCATGTACATTTTAAAATCTTAACAAAGGCAAGGGTTTCCTGGTGAAACGTTGATTGCTATGAAAAATAAAATCTAGTTCCACTATGTATTATATATAATTACATATAAATAATATAGATATAATATATATATATATATATATATATATATATATATATATATATATATATATATATATATATTTAAAGATAAAAATACGTTTATTCACGTTTCAATGTCCACTTCGGAATCGTTCTCAAAATACAAACAGTAAATTAAACAAATTTTGTTTTTTGTTACATAGTGAAAAATTCTTCTAAATTAATTTTATCTGACTCATTTATATTGACAATTCAGACATACATTATGTATTTTAAAGTAGACGACTTTAAAATGATATTGCCAATATTGTTGAGTTGCGATAGTATATATATGTTATATATATATATATATATATATATATATATATATATATATATATATATATATATATAATATAATATAAACTATTAATTTAATCTTAATATAAGTAAGCTAAAAAAACAACATATTCATTAATTTTGGGCCCTACGAATGTCGCCTAGTCAGCTGTTTTGTAATTATTGTGGTATTCAACAAATAATACAGTCTGGACTTTGTGCCAAAAATTGTTTCTGCTAGTTCAGTATTCACAAAATACAAAGAACTCCTACTAATTATAAGGTTTATTTTCAGTAATAATATCCCTATGGCATTGATAACAGACGAGATAATTTCATGACAATCGAAAGCTCGTTCCTTGGTAACAGCACGAAGCCGAAGGCTGAGTGCTGTTACCAAGAAACGAGCTTGAGAAATTTGTCATGAAATTATGAGGCATTCATCAATGTCCGAAGGATATTCGGCGGATAATTTTTCGAAAAAAAAAATCATAACTCAACATAACGAAACATTTATTTATTAAAAGTACAGTTAGTGAAAGTAAAATTATTAAAATTTAAGTTAACATTAGAATTGTTGCTGTTCTCTACTATAGATGATCTATTACCACGCATAATATTTATAATCTTGTTGTGGTGTTCTTGATCGAGATTCAAGTAAGGTTTTATAGAAACGTGATATTTTGAGATTTATTTGGATGAAGTTGTCAAACTCGATCGTGTTGTCATAGGGATTGAAAATTACACTGAATGCAATTATTAGTCTAATCTTGACATGATTGGGTGAAATTGTTCCACATGACACAAAATGACGAAATTTGAATGGTTGTTAGAACAGTCGAAAAATTATCTGTATAATATTTGTGACATTTACCAGTAAAAACAAAACTAACTGGATATAAATTGTTATAATATTTAAGTATGCCGTTTTATTTACATATTTTGCTGGATATTTCTAATGACTAAATACCTTTCTAACATACGACCCTGAAAATGTAGGTGGAACAAAAGGATAACCATTTTTCAGGAAAATAATTTCTCAAGGTAAAAGAAGCATAGGATGTCTATTTTAAGGATCGTTTTCAATATATGACCTACACTGATGCATGTATAGTTAATACATATTCAGTAAAACCTAATGAAGCAGAAAGTATTGGCATATGTTAAGATCTCTTTTATAATTGTTTTGAAGTTAATGCTAAATATAAAATTGTAAACAATTATGAAATGGTATAAAATGGTGGAAATTTAATAAAGTGCTTCAGTTAGACACCTACATCTGCTCTGTATAGTCTTAAAGGTAAGAAATTATTTCAATTTTGAAAATATTGTTTTTTTGGTAAATAAGAACAATTTAAATTTACTTGCTTTTGTCCTGATTACATAATAATAAGTTTAATATTATAATCTGTTTGAAATTTATTATTTATTTAGCTCTTTTTATTTAACAGTACATGTACATATTTACACATATTCCTCTTTTTCTTATGGTTGTTGGTTAACTAGTAATTGACCAGGTGGTATCCTGTTTTTACTTATAACCATCTAAAAATGACAGTATCATCAGCATATCTAATGTTGTTCAATCGTTCTCGGTTTATAAGTATTCCCTCGTCTATGTCCGTTAGCGCTAGGTTCATAATGTGCTCTGAATATGTATTAAACAATAATGGAGACAATATACTACCCTGTCGTACACCTCTTTTTATTTTTATATCGTCTGTTAGCTGATCTCCAATTCTAATAGCTGCAGTTTGTTCGTAATAGATATTATTTATTATACAACGACCTCTGCTGTCTACACCAATTGAATTTAATATTTTCATAAGTTTGTCATGTTTATTCTATCGAACGCTTTCTGGTAATCCACAAAACGCACAAATATATCACAATTTACGTCTCTACATCTTTGAAAGAGAACTTGTATTGCAAAAAGCTCCTCTTGAGTACCCAATGCATCCCTGAAGCCGAATTGTGTGTTTGTCATGTGTTATCACACTTTTTTTATTTGGTTTTCTGATCTTTAAGATGCGTCGTAGCAGAATGTTTTTGCCAAATTGAGTCCCCCATCAATTTAGCAATCAATTTAAAGTTTAGTTTGGTGGAGTCCCTACACAATTCTGTAATTTTGGCGTTAATTATTTTACTCTAATTTTAGATTTTTTATTTTATTTTATTTTTATTTAGATTTACCTAGGCCAAATCCTGAGACTTGACAAAGAGAACCAAAGTGCAGAAATTACTAGAAGAGCAAAACTAGCATGGACAGGATTTGGAAAACTTAGTTGGATACTTAAGAACCGCAAAATATCTCAATAATTGAGGAGCAAAGTGTTTAACCAGTGTATCCTTCCTATCATGACATATGGATGTCAAACCTGGACCCTTACCAAGACAAACATGAATAAACTAGCCACAACAGAAAGAACAATGAAAAGAGCAATGTTAGGTATACGATTGTCAGATAAAAAGAGGAACGACTGGGTAAGATCAAAAACAAAAGTCGAGGACATAACAACAAAAATTGCCAAACTTAAATGGAGCTTCGCGGGCCACACTACTAGACAGAAAAAACAACGTTGGAATACTACAATACAACATTGGATACCTTACGAAAGTAAACGACCAAGAGGAAGACCACAGATGAGATGGGTTGATGACATTAAAAGAATAGCCGGAACAAATTAGAAATATGTTGCTCAGGATAGAGACCGATGGAGGGAGTTGGGAGAGGCCTATGTCCAAACATGGACGACAGAAGGCTAAGAAGAAAGAAGGCTGCAAAACTTTAAGAAAAGCATCCTCGTAAAGGTTGAGATTGTTGCCATCGTATTTTACAACCAAATAATAAAAGACTGTGGTTTTCCCCTTTATAAGCTCAAGCTTCTTTCTGTTGGGGTTAAGTGGGCCAGCTCGACAGTATTTAAAAATGAACGTATTATGCTTGCTTTTTGCTTCTGGGATGGAGTAGAAGGCTTTGTGGAACTTCATGACATCGTGCATTGTTAAAAGCTGGTACTGGTATCCAACTCGGTGATGACAGGTAAAGTACAGAGAAAGACCTTTGGCTGAAATAGTCTATTGATTTATGTCAATAGTCAGAATTTTCATTGGGAATCTCTCAATTTTATGAAGAACTTTAACAAGTGGAACTAAATTGGTCATCTTTTACAGCCAACTTTTAAGCTTCATATTTTAAAATCAAACATTATCATATCACTTAAAAACTATTCATAACTCGAATAAATATATACAGTAACTTCTAACATATCAACTTCCACCCACCTAATGACCATTTGTTACAGCAATCAAATGTTAAGTACATGATTGAGTTAATTGATTAGACTTCTCTTTTTTATTTCTGGATGTTTTTTTTTCTATTTTTTGGGATCGCTTTGCCTCTTAAGCATCGTCGTTAGATTGACAGATATATTTGACACCATAAGTCTATTTTGTAAACTAATAATTTGCGAAATAAACAATTTAAACTAATAATAAACAAAAAATAAAATGATTAACATCGGACAAGTTAAAAGCAATGGCGGCCATTGTTGATTATTCATGTGTTCACAATACAGCATTCTCATTGGTTGTTGGGGAGATGTCCGTTTTTGAAATAAACCTTCATAGCCGGAATCCATTTTTGAAACGGACCTTCAACTGTAAAGTTGAAAATAACTTATTTGCGTCCGTGTTGGAAGAAAACTACTATCACCGTTGAAAAGAACAGGAACAATTCTATAAGAAACCACTACTAACCAAATTTTTATTTTTTTGACACATTTTGCTATAATTAATACAACTGATTATATTCGCTCCGTACGTGACCATGGTAGGGGTACCCTGAAACGATGCCAGCGTGCGTATCGGCGAAATATGACAAAATTAGACCTTTCTTTTTACGCATAAATTTTATCAAAAATAGGTGCAAATACATGTTGAGAATTTAATTGTGCTAATAATAGCAAAAATAGTGTAGTTTTTATAGGTTTCCAAAGATTACATATAAATTAGACAAAAGAAAAAGATGGATTCGTGCTATTGATATGAAAAAGTAAATATCACATAATTTCATTTTTATGCAATTTAAATGGGGAAAAAATTAAATAATTTACCTCAAATGATATTTTATAAGGCTTCAAGCTAACTGCAGCCTGTCTGATGACTTTAGCTTTTATAACATAACTTTTACTATTATTGTTTTTAATTACATGCTCTTCCACATGAAAAACATTATTTTCCAGTACTAGATTTTTGATTTCTTCGCCGTTTTGGTTAAAAAAATAAATTGTGATGAATTTTTAGACACCCAGTTTTTAATACTACATTTATTTTGTACATAAACTGAAAAATATAATTAAAAAACTAATTTTTAGTAATTGTCAATTTCGTATGTTTTTAACGTATGTTTCACCTCAAATTGGGAGGTCCAAAACTGTCAGATGAAGGCAATAGGTGGGCGCGTCAGTCACGCACGGAGCGAATAGTAAATACCTAATCCTATCAATTTCTATTTTTAGATGCATCTTCAATATACACTCATCTTTATTTTCATCAATCTGTATTGTTTTACTTGCTCACCATATTACGCAAATAATCTTTCAAAACGTGCAGCAAAATACTGTGGCAAACAATTAAGCTCGATGATTAATTTGGTATGTCATGGAAGGTATTACGATCCAACACACCCAAACAAAAGAAGTACAGGTTAGTACAAATATCTATAATTTAATATATAAAGTCTAAAAACATCAACAGATTCATCGCTTTACAAAATTTGTAAGTTTTACTCTTGGTTCTTGAAATGGTTGTAAAAGATAATGTAAGGATTTTAATAATTACTTTAGTTTAGTAGTTATATGTGCAATATACTTTTCTGATCTGTAGCAACTTGTAAATTTCTTCTTCTTAAAGTTTAAATGTCTAAATTATATTCTAATCTAATAATTATTAAGAATATTAAATTTTGAGTATTGTATATATCTTAATCCTATTATGTGACAATACATTTTAATTTAAAACTTTGTTGTTCCATAATATGCTTCAGGTGTTCATCTTCTGCTGTAGCGATTGCTAATTCTCTTTTATCAACCGGTATAAACACAGCTTAACGTTACAGTTTTCGCAGATTATAATTAGAACTACACATTCCACTATTGTTATGATAAGTGCGTAAGATATTCACCAATTATATTCCCTGAATGGTGTACCCGGGGGGGGGGGAGGTTACCCAGAAACTCTCCAGTAGTTGTCTCCTCCCCTCAGGAGATCATCCTGGCTACGTAGTTAAAACCAGACATCTAAGCCACATCGTTTAGGGAGGGATATGAAATAAACTCAAGGAAAAAGATGATTATAGATCTATTATATTGTTTGTTCTCTCGTCTTTGTTTAATAAATTGGTGCGGCGTAATGTGTCTGCTGATTCGCTGGTCCATACACCATTAGGCTTGAGTGAAAAACTGTTTCTTAACAGTTGCACAACATTGTCAATTTTGTGGAAATCAGAAAATCGTTTTTTAAATTCCAAATCAAGTTTATTAATAAAACGTGAGAACTATGTAACATCAATATCTTTATTACTATCACAAAGGGATTTAAGAAGAGGAAAATGCAAGTTCTGCTTTAATATACTTAGAAAAATGTTTAATTATTTAAGAAAAACTTTTAATATCCAGAAAGTTCACAAACAAGTTTTGCCTGGCATTATCGTTTTAATTTCAAGAAGTTCAAATGCCTGAAGATATCCGCCAAAACATGTGTGTCTTGTTAGTCATCCGTCATTATTTATATTTTACTTTTGTCCAGTGTGTGATTTTTATTTAATGTATATATATTCAGCCGTTAAGAAATTCTACAAAACCAAAGTTAAACCATATAGTCCAAACAAGCATTCTTCTTCTTATTCAGCCTTAAGTAATCCAACTTTGGACATAGGCCTCCCCAAAATTAATCCAGTGTCTTCTATTTTGGGCCACTGGCTTCCAGTTGTGTCGTCCGATCTTCTTAATGTCATCAGCCTATCGCATTTGTGGTCTTCCTCTGCTTCTCTTTTCTAACCATGGTCTCCATTGGTGTATTTCGTGGTTAGTCGTTCATTGTGTTCTGCGAAGCTCCATTTTAATTTGGCTGCATGTTCTCCTGCGTCTTTTACTTTCGTTTTGCTTCTAATCCATTTGTTGGTTTTTTTGTCTATGAGTCTCACCCCGGGCATTGATCTTTCCATCGCTCTTTGTGCTTTTATTATTTTATCCATGTTAGACTTGGTAAGTGTCCACGTATGTGAGCCAGACGTGAGTA